GACAAGGGAAGGAAACTTTCTGTGCGTGTCATTTAAATTAAAATGGTTAAAAGCAGCATTTTTCTTGATTGCAGTTTCAAAGCAGAACAAAGCCAATGTTCAGCTGTTAAACTTTTAAAAAAACACCCATTATGTTTTGTCCAGAGGTATGAACATTTCAGGTACAAACATCCTCCCTTAGTGAGGTTTTCATAACTCTGAAGTTCTACTGTACATAGCAAAGGGCAGTCTCTGTATCAAAGAACTTACAATCCAGACGGAGTGGAAACATTACAGCTGTGTCTAGATTGGCATGATTTTCCGGAAATGCTTTTAATGGAAAAGTTTTCCGTTAAAAGCATTTTTGGAACAGAGCGTCTAGATTGGCATGGACGCTTTTCCGCAAAAGCACTTTTTGTGGAAAAGCATCCGTGCTGATCTAGACGCGCTTTTCCGCAAAAAAGCCCCAATCGCCATTTTTGCAATCGGGGCTTTTTTGTGGAAGACAAATCTGAGCTGTCTACACTGGCCCTTTTGCGCAAAAGCTTTGCGCAAAAGGGACTTTTGCCTGAACGGGAGCAGAATAGTATTTCCGCAAGAAGCACTGATCTCTTACAGTAGGAAGTCAGTGTTTTTGTGGAAAATCAAGCGGCCAGTGTAGACAGCTGGCAAGTTTTTCCGGAAAAGCGGCTGATTTTCTGGAAAAACTGGCCAGTCTAGACACAGCTTCCTTGTACAAGGTTACCCAGCTGACCAGTGAGGTAGGCATAGAACCTAGGGGCCCAGATTCCAAATCTAGTGCCCGACTCCCACAAATTCTCCTTTCTGAGTGTCCACTGTCCTGATCGCTGTGGGTCTGATGTTTGAGCAGCGCGGACGGACACCGTAAGCGCCAGCAGAAGTCAATGAGATCTGCAGGCCACAGAAAGTGTGCAAACCAGGCCTAGATGCCGCTGCGTCCTGTTCTCTACCCCAGGTAGCAGGATTAGAGGGTGACTCCAAGCCCAGCTCCCACAGTAGCAAAGCTGAAAGAATTTAAGTGTAACAATTAGAAAGGCCAGGCACGTTCTTGAGTGGATCACTGCACAGCCCCCAGCCTGTTCACACGTCTGTCACTGCGGAGCTGTCCCCAGGAGGAAAAGCAGCGTATCCCATTTAGCAATCACCTCAACCAACGATTTCAACCCCTGATACTTCCAGTTTTTCTAACTGCTAATTGGGATAACACCATTTATCCCTGCAGAGGACTTAGGGTTGCCAGATACTGTCACAAAAAAAATCCCGAACATGGCAGGGAAAAAAAATTAGTTGAGAAAAAAACCAAAAAACGGGGAGCCAAAGTTGAGAAAAAAAAAAGGTCGCTGTTCCTTTAAATTTCCTTGCGCTCCTTGCTCCCCCACCCTCATCAGACGCGACAGGGCAAGAATGGTCCCGCCAACCTTCCGTCCAAGAGAAACAGAAAACAGGACATTTTACATGTCCAGTATTTTCTCTTTTTTTTAACCGGACATGGGCCAGAAATAATGGACTCTCTGGGTGAAAACCAGACACCTGGCAACCCTAAGAGGACTGACACCCCTCCGGATCTGAATCAGCTGCTCTTTGGAGAAGTTCAAGCTAGCTGTAAACTCCCCAGTTCAGGACCATCTCTATGACTGGCCAAACCAGAACCCTGAGTCCAAACAACCCTACGTAGGATCCAAATCTGGATTTGAGCTTCCTAGTTCACACGCCTTGCTGAACATACACGCAAACACCAATCCCACACATCCCATCCCTGGTATTGCCAGCCCCAGGCATTCAACGCTTACGAGTCAGATGCTTCCATATCACGAGATTTTTCAACGTAAGAAATTGGGGGCAGGGAATCTTTTTATTTGGTTTCTGAGCCACCGTGAGGTCACATCCTCCAGGTTCTCTTTGTGGCCATGTGGGCTAGGTTGGTGTTTTGCTGCGGGTGTTTCTCAATAGAGCAGTCAGGCCTTTTCTGATAAAAATCTGTTTGAGTTTAAAATGAACATGTTTAGCATTTCCTTAATGGACATCCAGCTGGGAAAACCCCCCCAGTTTCATTCCGATGGGCCAGGCAGGGCTGTGAATGCCTGCCCTCTTGCCAAGTCTATAAAACAGGCGAAGCCAGTGAAAAAAGAGACACAAAGAGATCCTGAGAGATACAGCGAGAGGCAGTAAGGGAACATCTGTCCGGACACAAAGACAGGTGGCTGGAAGAGAGACAACAGCACAGATCTGTGGAACCCCAATGGGAAACTGGGTTGTGAACCACTGGTTTCCAGCTGTGGTGATCGTAAGTGATTCTTTACTCATATCAATTATTCTTTTTAGACCGTGAGTGACATATTTTTAAAAAAAGCTAGCTAGCACCAGCTGGTCATGAAGAAATGGTAAATACTGCTCATTTGTACACCTACCAATAGATTTACTGAATACACCTGAATGAAATAGGCATATGAACTTAAAAAAGATAGGCTTCAATTCAAGACACCACTTCAGCCCTTTTTTACCTTTAACAACAGGGATTTGAGCACACGTTAAGAATGTGCTTGTGAAGTGCTGTCCTGAATCGGGGTCTTATAAAGCTTCATATCAGGGTTTGCTTGGAAGCAGGATAAATAGGCTGGCTACTTAGGGGTGCGTCTCTACTGCAGTGTTTTTCCAGAAAAATCAGCCGTTTTTCCGGCAAAAATTACTTGCATCCACACTGCTATTGTGTTGTGGAGGGGTTTTTCTGATGGTGGTAAACCTCATTCTGTGAGGAAGAAGCCTTTTTCTGAAAAAGCTTTTTCGGAAAAAGGCATGTGTGGTTGCAGAAGAGGGAGTTCTTTCCAAAGAAGAGGCTGCCAGGAAATAGCACAAGTGCCCTGGTGGCCACTCCGTCCCAACTCATCACAACTTAAATGCGAGATAGCATCCAATGAATATGGACGCTATCTTTTGAAAAAGCACATCGTTTTTTTGTTGAGCTTTTGCTGTGTGGACGCTCTTTCGAAATAAGCTTTTCCGGAAGATCTCTTCCCCCATCATTCTGTTAGCTTAACTTTTAGTATATTTAAAGATTTCTTCAGAGAAAATCCTGTTGCCAGGTCAAACATTTTCTCTATTTCTCTTTCCTCATTCTTTATAGATAAAGGAATGTCAACAGAATAATTTTGGAAAGAATTTCTCTGCTCCCCTGCGTAGTCCCAAACCAAGGTCACGCTCTTATATGTTACATCGTAATTGTTTGCTGTGGAATCCTGTTTGCCATCTTTGTGAGAAAGAAACAGTGGATGTGTTAGAAATACAGCATTGTACCTATGGCCCTGGTCTACCAGGGTCACACACAGGGCCCATATTATACTAGTGCAAAGCTTGTTATAGGATTAAGATTTAAATAGTTCATCCATTTTAGACTGTAAGATCTTCAAGACAAGGACTGTCCTTAGGGGAGAGTGTGGAGCCTGGGGTAACTCCACCACAATGCCCCAGGTGTGGGGCCCACAGCAAACGTCTGCCTCAGACCCTGGCCCATCTCTGCTCCATCCACCCCACCCCCTCTCCACCCATCTGTTGCCTTCCTCACCGAATTGTAGGTAAGGCTCAAGATTTCCCTTTACAAAAGCAGTGCAGACTCTTCCCCATTACACTGTCTTCATCTGTATGGCTGATAATACTGTTACTTGCCCCGTACTTAAATTAAGCTTACCAGCCTGTAACTGCCAGGATCGCCTCAGGAGCCTATAAAAAAATCAGCATCACATTAGCTATCCACCAGTTCCTTCAGCTTAGCAAGCCCTGCGTCCTCCTCAGCATCCGGGCCCGTGACTTCCACGGTATCACCTCAGAAAATCAGGCCTTAGCCCTAGAGGCTGCAGGGCCAAGTCCTTCTCCCAGGAGCAGCAGCACAGCCCTGAGCTCACGCAGCTTCTGATCTCTGGTGGCACCGTGGCACTTCAGAACACCAGGCACAACGCGCCTCAAAACAGGCACCAAAATCAGCCGCCTCTCGCGAGTGATCATCATTCTGCTTTGTGCTTCGATGCAGCAATCACAGCCCTTTGGCCACACACTTGGCTAGTATAAACCGGTGCAGCTCTGCTGCCGGCAGTACAATTATACCCCCCGGCGGATCCAGCCTGCCTGAGTTTTATAGGGCACTAGCATGGCCCTTTAAGGGTCACTGAAATAAAGCAAAGTTTGTTGTCACCTCCTCCCCTCAGACACATGCCCTGCTTGTGTGGTGGCTTAACTGCCCTTTGACTGCCTTTTCTCTCCCCCCTCTCTAGGCAGCATGGCTGGGCCTCAATGTGTTCCTGTTTGTGTATTATTTCCTGCTGTTTGACAGGGATAAGAAGTACTACTACACCAGAGTGCTTCTCGGGGTAAGGCCCCCCCTCGCTCTCCCCGCCCCTCCGTTTGCCAGGCACCGAGCTCGTCAGCCGGGAGTGTTTCCCATCGCAGCCCCACCTCCGGCTAGAGATGGGCCGGGCGCGTGACACCCCTGTCCCCCATTTCCCACTGGGGCTGCTCCGAATGCAGCACAGCGGGAGGCTGTTTGTAGCTGCGGCCCCTCGGGGGTTCCATCACGAGCCGGCCCGGGGGGAGGGGTGCTAGCCAGCAGTGGCTGAGGTACCGTAGCACCTCTCGGGCGTGGGAAGGGCCTCAGGCTCCCGCCAAAGGCCAGGTGGTGCTAGCAGAGAGCACTGGCTACTGGTGAGACTGACCCTGTCTCTGCACATGCCCCCGCCCTGCTCTGCCTCCTCAGTCTGCGCTGGCCTGGGCCCGAGCATCCGCCAAGTGCCTGAACTTTAACAGCATGCTGATCCTGCTGCCCGTGTGCCGCAACCTGCTCTCCTTCCTGAGGGGCGCCTGCTCGGTGAGTGGCCAGCCCTGCCCCCCTCGGGCCCCCCCCAACCCCCCCCGCCACAGCCACACACAAGTGACACAATCAGGAGCCGGGCTCAGAAAAGCCAGGAGATTGGCCCCCAAGTCATTTACAGACACGGCCGTGGGTCTGTGGGTCTGGGCGTGAGCGAGAGAAATCCGGGCGCCTGCCCCGCTTTGTCTGCTGCCTGGCGGGGTGGGGTTTCCAGCCTCTCCCAGTTCTCACTGTCGCTGCGCCCCACGGCCCCTCCCTCGCCCGGCACTTAATTATCTCCCTGCTCCTCTTTGCACCCCTGCTCCGTCTGCAGCTGGACTTGGGGGGCTGCAGTGAAGTCCCCGCCCCTATCCCAGGCCAGAAGGGGCAGCTTCAAGGGCTCTCCTCCCCTCTGCATCCTTCGAGCTGGGTGCTGGGGTGGGGGGCTGACCCATGAGCTTGCTGGGAGTGGAGACAGGGAGCAGACTGGCCCATGGTGCAGGGGGAGGGCCAGGAGGGAAGAGACTGACCCATGGCTTGTGGGGGGGAGGAGAGCACCCCTCTTCCCTACTATGAGAATGGTGTTGTCTCCTCTCTTTCCCGTCCCCTCCCCAAAAGGTGCTCTGGCTCCATAGGGGATGGGGAGAGCTCCCTGTGCCACTGCAGAAGTTCTGATTGGCTGCTTTTCTTGGGGGGCAGGGCAAGCCTCCAATCCCAGGGGTGGGGTGCTAATGCCAATGCCCCACTGGCTCCAGCCGGGACAAGGTCCCCTCATTGGCTGCAGCGGGAGGCAGCGTGCGCCTGGCCCGTGTCCCTGAGCCTGCCCCCTGCCCCCAGGGCCCCTCCGTCCTGTGTGGGGAGGGGTGGCCCCTGCCCCTCTCACCCTGTGTGCTGACCATTTCCTCTCTGCCCGGCAGTGCTGCAGGCGCACAATGCGGAAGCAGCTGGATCACAACCTCACCTTCCACAAGCTGGTGGCCTACACAATTGCCCTCTTCACAGGTAACATGGCACCCACCTCGCTGAATGTGTTCCGGGAACCGGCGCCCCCGCCCGCACGGGATGGCTCAGGCGCCCCGCCTCAGGCAGAGAGAGGGTACCAACAGGCCCTGCCCGCCCGCGGGATGCTGATCAGGGTCTGAGCTCAGTCTCAGGTGGTGCACGTGGTGGTGCTGACGAGTTCACCGCAGGCTGTGCTGTCTTGGCTTGCAGCAGCGCTCTGGGAGTATGTTTGCACAGCGGTCAAACACCCGGGCCTGGCCTCGGTCAGCTGTCCTGGGTTCCTAGGCCTCGGACACGCTGTGTAAAGGCTTGGGCGGGCACTCAGACCCTGCCATGCTCAAGCCCGGATGTCTATTCAGCAGTTTTTAGCCCCACAGCCCGAGTCAGCTCAGTCAAGGCGGGTCTTTTGCTCCCGTGTCGACATGCCCTGGGTCTGTCGGGGTGGGGGTTCCAATCTCTCTGTGTCTGTGATGCGCAGCGGTTCACATCATCGCCCACCTGTGTAACTTGGAGTGGTACAACGACAGCCAGCAGGCTGCTGATGGGAGCCTCTCCTCCATCCTCTCCGACCTGCACCAAGACGGGAGTAACAAGTGGCTAAACCCCATCCGCTCCAACAGCACGGTGAGTGCTCAGGGCCTGCCTTGGGGGGTAGTGGCCCCAGGGTGCCCAGGCTTCATTCTGTGCTGCTTGCAGACTCCGCGTGACCATCCCTGTCTCTGTGCTGCGTTCCCCTGCAGACGCCGGCCTACGTGGCGTTCACAACCATCCCGGGCCTGACGGGCGTGATCATCACGGTGGCGCTGATCCTCATGATCACCTCCTCCATGGAGTTCATCCGCCGGAGCTATTTCGAGGTCTTCTGGTACACGCACCATCTCTTCGTCATCTACTTCGCCGGCCTCGTCATCCACGGCATCGCGTAAGGCGCCACACAACAGCCACAAGGCACCTCCTTGTCTGTCTGCTCTCCACAGGTTCTACTCACACCACAGCCCTGCTGCACTGGATCGTGTGTCAGCCTCCCCGCTGCCCAGCCACATCTGTCCCACCGTCCTTTTACCCAGCCCGGCATCTGACTCTCCCATCCGCCCTGGTTTTCCACAGAACACCCTGCTATCCCGCACTCCCCACCTCTAGGCCGGTACTGCCGCTTACTCCGCGGCTGAGCTGTTCTGAAGGCCAAGCAGGGAGGCAGGCGCGGGCCAGGAGAGCTGTGGTGACATTTTTCTCCTTCCCAGCGGTCTTGTTCGTGGGCAGACGGCAGAGAGCTTAAAGGAGCACAGCCCTGAGCAGTGCGCACGGGACCCTACGCACTGGGGCAGAGAGAAACGCCCCCACTGCGAAAAGCCCGAGTTTGGGAGCATCCCGGCTGAGGTGAGACTTCCCAGCGCAGACGTTTGCTGACAGGAGGCTGTCCTGAGCTAACTGAGGGGCCTCTCCCCTGTCCCGTCAGGAGGGAACAGTGCAGCCAGGCTCATTTTCCATGGCGAGATGGGAGAGGAGCTCTCTGACCCCAATTCAGTCTCATTCCTGCCAACAGACCAGCCTCCCCCCCCACCACTTCCTAAAGCCTCTCCCTGCCAAGTATCCGACATAGGGCCCTTCACAGCCTGCCTCGGCCCTGCTCCACTTTTCAGAGCTGCTTGCAGACACCTCTGCCCCCAGATACACTCTTGGGCAACCCACCTCTTCCCTGCTGGTTCCCAGCCTGCCAGGATGCCAGCAGCAGCAGGGACAAGGGATAAAATTACCTGGCAAGAGCAGCTCCCACCTGCTAGGCAGTAGCCAGCTCACAGAAGGGCTAAGAGGGGATGAGCTGGACGATCACTAAACAGACCAGTCTTCTCCCAGCACGACTGTCTGTGGGGAGCAGGGACAATGCCCGAGCCACGCTCTCACCCTCTGCCCAGACCGCATGCGATGGGAGCAACGTGAGAACCAGACTGCGAGTGGGTGGGACTCTACTCGCTAGGCGTAAGGTGCTAACGCCCACCCTGGTTGTCCACGTCATGCTGCCCCAGCATAGGGCCGCGTCTCTCGTGTCAGGAAGACATTTCCCAAGCCACGAGGCCAGAGGGTTTGCTCTGGGCATCTCCGTGAAGGGACGTTGGTGCCCTTTGCTGCCAGCCCCGCCCCTCAGCTCCCGTCGGCGCCTCACAACATACAACGGCTTCTATCTCCACAGTCCTGGCAGTGGGTGCTGGCCCCAATCCTCCTCTACGTCTTCGAGCGAGTCTTACGCTTCTGGCGCTCTCAGCAGAGGGTCGTCGTCACAAAGGTAAGAGGAGCCGCCAGCAGGGGACACTAAGGAACGGGGGCAGCAGCACTGCCGAGGGGTACTCCCAGCCACCCCACGCCCAGCAGGAGTCCCCGTCGCTTCAGCCCAGCTCTGCTAGGGGCGAGGCGTAGGTAGGACGGCGGTGAGGGGCCACACTCATGCTCTGCGGTTGTGCCTTTCCCCCAGGTTGTCATGCACCCATCAAAAGTGTTAGAACTACAGATGCACAAGAAGGGCTTCAGCATGGAAGTGGGCCAGTATATTTTCATCAACTGTCCCTCGGTCTCGCGCCTGGAGTGGCACCCTTTCACCCTGACCTCTGCCCCCGAGGAAGAGTTCTTCTCCGTCCACATCCGGGCGGCAGGGGACTGGACAGAGAATCTAATTGACACCTTTCAGCAGCAGAAACCGAAGACGCCCAGGTAGGCTGGGGCGGTACTAGAACCGGGAATCTAATAGACTGCAGCCCCAGGGAAGTTCTGATACAAGGGGATGCAGGAAGGCAGTTTCCACCTCTTACCAGGGACCTGCCTTGTCTTACCAGGATAGAGGTGGATGGCCCCTTTGGCACAGCCAGCGAAGACGTGTTCCAGTACGAGGTTGCCATGCTGGTGGGGGCAGGGATCGGGGTCACGCCCTTTGCCTCTGTCCTGAAATCGATCTGGTACAAGTTCCAGCATGCAGACCAGCGTCTCCAAACCAAAAAGGTAAGGAGTGAGGAGCGGGGGAGGGAGGGGAAGGGTTTCCCTATTGCTGCCTATCTGGCCTGCAGTCCTCATGCATCCTGAAAGTGCAACTTCCCACCTTCCCCAGCACTGGCCTAGGCTAAGCTACAGCCTTCCTGGTGAATCCGCCTATTGTAATGGACTCTCCCCTCCGCTCCACCGCAGCGTAGTGTGGCACGGCTCTCGCAGGCTCAGTAACGTCTCTCTCTTACTCTTTGTGCTGTGGGATCCCAGATCTACTTCTACTGGCTCTGCCGGGATACGGGTGCCTTTGCCTGGTTCAATGACCTGCTCGCCTCCCTGGAGCAAGAGATGGAGGAATCTGGCAAAGCAGGTTTCCTGAACTACAGACTCTTCCTCACCGGCTGGGACAACAGCATTGTGAGTCACAAACACCAGGCCATCTGGGTGACGGTGTGCGTCAGTCGAGGAGGGACAGAACACGGGGAAACGTCATGGCGCTGGGGATGAGAACCTGAAAACACCATGGTCAAGGCGAGATACCAGAGTGGAGAGTCTCCCTTTTAACCTATCAGGGAAGGTGGCAGCGGTAGAAGCCAATACCTCAAGAATGAGCAGGGCCGGCCTACATTTTGGCCCCCCCCCACACACACAGTCTGACACCTGAGATGGCCGCCTCAGTTCGCCTCATGGTAAGGCCAGCCCTGTGAATGAGGGTTCCCGCAGCCCATCTGTGAGGATGCCTGCCTCTTCTCACTCCTTATCTCCTCTACCTCTAGGCTGGCCAAGCAGCTTTCAACTTTGATAATGACACAGATGTGGTGACAGGCCTCAAACAGAAAACATCCTTTGGGAGACCCAGGTGGTGCACTGAGTTCTCTGCCGTGGCAACTGCCCACCCCCGGTGAGTGTTTAGTGCCCTGGCGACCAGGTTGCTAGAGCTGGAAATGCCTCTTCAAGGTCTGTCCCCTTCCTCCTGAAACTGTATCTGGGACACGGCCCCACCAGCTGCAGCCAATGAATCACTAGAATGGGGATGTGATCTGAAGATGAGAACAAGCGAAGGCCCACACGGCGAAGAGCCCTAGACAGAGCCGGGTAAGCAGATGTTTTCTCCCCAGCATTAATAGCTCCTGTGTTCTGTGCAGGTCTGTGGTGGGCGTGTTCCTCTGTGGGCCTGAAGCTTTGGCAAAGAGCCTGCAGAAGTGCTGCCATCAGTACTCCAGCCTGGACCCTAGGAAGGTCAAATTCTACTTCAACAAGGAGAATTTCTAAGCAGCAGGACTCACCGTTCCTAGAAAGAACCACTCTCTTATCCTCTACTGCTCCTTTTAAACCTGCAGCAGCATGGCCTGCTGAGGATGCACTAACACTACCATGTGTCTGTCACCTGCTAAACTCAAGGAGAAAGTGTCCTTCCATCACACCACCACATTCCTCCAATGGAAGTGTCTGAATTTTACATCCTGCCTGTCCTTTGGAGGGAAGGGGATGGGCCTTCTTGTACTGGGCTCACATGCAGATGGACTGAAATGGACTTTCTGGTGGAATTAACATGGTCCTCCAAAGCTGGATTGTGGCGTCTGCGTAAGAGACTGACAAAGGCTCCTACTGATGATTACACTTGGTTTTGGGCATGGACGGTGAGGAATTCCAGGATGGTGGGGCTTGGGGGCGGAGGACAGAGATCTGCTGCGGTTGATCCATCGCAAAGGGGGAAATATGCTCCAATCAATGTTTCTGTAAGTGACTATTAAAATAAACTAAACTTGCTTCCCTTGTAAGTAGCTTAGGATAAAACCTAACCTCAGTGAACCCCCGTGTCCGATTTAAGATGAAAATGCACAGCATTATCTACAGCCTGACTGTGCCGATGGTACCTGTGCTCTGTCCATAATAAATAAATACAAGAAGGAAAGGGTAGCAGCATCACACTGCCACCTGCCCTCCCTTCACAGAAGCTGTCTGGTGACACTCTGAGCAGCTGTCTGAAGCCACAGCAGACAGTGTTGCTGACCCTAGTCTGAATGACTCACGGATGAAAACTGGCAGGAATGTATCTGGAATGGAAGAAAAACATACTACCAGGAACGGAAGAGATTGTAAATGAAGCAGCAGCCACAGCTGATCTGCCA